TTCCCCTGCTCCTGGCACTCCTGTCCCTCCTGACTCACTTGCACAGCCCTCTCTCTACCAAGCGTATCAACAACAGGTAGAAGAGGCTGTGAGTGGTGGCTGTCCCCTCTCTGCGAGCGAAAGCGAGAGAGAGAGAGAGAGAGAGACAGAGAGAGCGAGCCAGCGAGAGAGAGAGAGAGAGAGAGCGTGTGTAGAGACCATGTCGCAGACAGAGGCACGGCGAGCGAACAATGACCGACTTGCTGGTGATGGTAATGGTGACGGGGATGATGATAGAGGAGGTGTTTATGGTGATGGCGTCAAGAATGGAGCAAGTCGATCCAATGGTCAAGGTCAAGGTCAAGGACATGATCTGGGACAGGGAGGAGAAGGAGTCCATCTGGGACTTGGAGAAGATCGATGGATGGATGAGGAAGGAGCAGCGGCGAGCGAGAGTGAGACGACTACTGGTAGTGGTGCCATCAACAAGTTTGCCGTGTTGAGCAACATACAGCCGGGTTCTTTGTCCTCGATGGTCAAGGTCGAGTTTACCGACGAGGAAAAGTCAAGGACGCTCCAGACGGTGGCGATGACAAGTACTGCAAAGCCGGCTGTACCCAAGGGTCGGCTTACTCTCACGCCGCTGCAGCTTCAAGAACGGGAGCACAAGGCTCGGACGGAGGATAAGAACAGGCTCGTCCGCGAAGCTCTTAATCGTAAGCGCTCCATCGAGCACTCTCGCGACGTGATGCGGAAGCGAAAGGCCAAGGCCAAGGCCCGCGAGGCAGCCAAGGCCAAGACCGGCTCTGCGGTTGGAAAAGAAGCCAGCCCACCGTCGCGAAAGCGCAAGCGGCCGGTGTCGGCAGACGAGCTAGTGCCGCTCAAGCCGAGCAAGTCGTCGACCGAGGAGGCCAAGTCCAAGGCCCTCACGGTCGTTCACGCCATGATGCACACTCCGGCAATGAGCCAGGGCTTGCTCACACCGTCGCTGCCGACGCCGTCGGCCGCTCGTGGCATCTTCTCCGCTGGCTTTCCACACTCGCCGTCGCGCCACTCGGGCGGCTCTTTCCCGAGCGCGGGCGGGAGCGGCGCAGGCTTTGAGTCGGACGACGAGGCGACGCTGGACGCAGGCTCTGTGCTTGACTTTGCATTTGACGACGACGACGATGACGACGATGACGAGCCCGCGCCCGCGCCCGCGCCCGCGCCCGCGCCCGCGCCCGCACCCGTGTCCAAGGCTGCGCCCGAGGCCGCGCCCGAGGCCGAGGTGCCGCCGGCCAAGCGGGCCAAACTCCTCAGTCCTCCGCCGTCGCTTCCTGCTCCGCCGGCAGGGTCAGCGCCAGCAGCACCGGCCACCGATGGCACGACGCTGACGACGACACCTCAGCCGGGCCCGGCGCCAACGCTTTCGCCGGCGAGCGAGACGGTGAGTCCGGCGCCGAATCTGGTGTGGCGCCGGTACTCGGAGGCGCATCTGGTGGACTTTCCCCGGGCCGACGACGTGCTCGCCGCGGCGCGGCAGGTGAAGAAGCAGGCGGGGCAGGTGCCTCCGGCGCAGCGAGTCTCCAAGTACTTTGAGGCTGCAGTCGGCTTTGTGGCCGTTGCCTTGTACTACGACGTGATCGAGGGCGACCGCGAAAAGGCGACGGGGTGGTACCGATCGGATCTTGGCTTCCTCGCCTCGCTCCTCGCCGACACCGAGCAGGCCGGCGACGATGCCGGCGGCGCCATCGTGGCCGGCATCATGGCCGCGGTCCGACTGCGTATGGCGGTGCTAACGGCCAGCGAGCCCAAGGCCCGGCTGGCGACCATCATCGAAGCGCTGCAGAGGAAGCGGACGGTGCCGACGGACGAGACCAGCGGCATGGCGCGCGCAGTTCAGTCGGCCTCTGACGCCCGCACGGCACTGCAGCTCTCACGGACGGCGCAGGTCAAGGCCGCGGCGTTTCTGGCCGGATCGTCGCCGCGGATTGCCACCATGTCGCCATCAGTCAACGTGGTGCTGTACATGCTGGCGTCTGCGGCGCAGTTTGGCGATCTCGACGCCGTGCTCGACGTGATGGTGAGCGCGTGGCGTGAGACCCACGCATCGTCGCCGTGACACACACACACATACACACACACGACACTATGCGTGGATTGCGCGCACGTAGAAGGTTTAAAGCGACAGCGGCGTCACAGGATGTCGCCGTACCGCGAGTACGGCGGGACAATGTCGGCAGCCGGCGGCGGGTAGTAGCCACCGGCCGAAGCGGGCGGGTAGCCCGAGGCGTAAGCGCCGGGACCGTACGCACCGGATCCGTAGCTGTGACCGTAGCCGGCGCCGTAGCCGGCAGGCTGCGGCGGCGCGGCGTGCGACGGGAGATGGGCGTGCGATGGGAGGGCTTCGCCGCCTGCCGAGCGGAGGCCGTGGGCGTCGCGGACGACGCGGTTGACCATGGCACGGTACTCGCGCTCAAAGGCCTGGTGGTATCCAGCCTCCGAGTCAAGTGGGTCGCGCGGGCGGCCGTAGCGATCAAGATTGGGGTCGCGGCGAGCCGGCGGGCGGCGCGAGCTCGGATGGGCGTAGTGCGGCGGGTAGCCGTGCGGACCGGCCGGACGCGGAGCATAGGCCGGATGCGAGCCGTAGGCAGCGTAGTCGTCACCAAGGCCGGTGCGAATAGGAATGCCGTCGGCCTCGGGGAGGATGAAGCCGAGTTCGACCAGGATCTTGCCATGAGCCTTCTTTGTCACGCGGCCCTTCTTGTCACGGAGCTCGTACCAGAGGGCCTCTGGGCGACCAAAGGGAATGTCCTCAATGGGCACTGAGCAGCGACCCATAAAATCAGCCCCGATCTTGTCCCAGTCCCACACCTCGAGCTCAATGGCTGTCGCCGACTTGTCGTAGGGAAACTGATGGGTCTCCTCCCAATGCGGCTCGAGAGTCTGCTCCTTGTACGCCGTCTTGGCCTTCTCCTTGCCATACTTGATCACCACATATGGATCAGACTTGCCAGACGAGTCACGCGCTGCCAGATCCACTCCCTTGATCACTATCCCCTCCCTCCCCCACACTCTGTCCGTGAGTCGCTCCCTCCCTCCCCTCCCCCCTCCCCCCTCCCCCCCCCCCCCTCCCCCCTCCTCCCTCTCTGTCCAACGGCTGCCCGTTTCCAGCTCTCCGCCCTTGCCGTGGATACTCATAGCAAGAACATACCCCGCACAAGAAGGTGCTCTGCAGGTGACCGGTCATCGTACGAGTCCGAGTACGACATGTTTGCCAGTTACGTGTAGTGTCTCTTGTGCTCCTTCCCTGTGGCCAAGTCGTCCATCGGTGTGGGAGAAGGGCGGACCGTTGGGCTGGCAGGGAAGGCGGCCATTGATGAATGGCATGCAGAGTTATTGATTATTTCCCGGTCTCGATCATTGCCATTCGTTCGATCATTGTCATTCGCTCCGTTCGATCATTGTCATTCGTTCCGTTCGATCATTGCCATTCGTTCGATCATTGCCATTCGTTCGATCATTGCCATTCGTTCGATCATTGTCATTCGTTCCGTTCGATCATATTCGACAATCATATTCGTTTCGTTCGATCATCGTTTGTGCATTCGCTGGCACCGCCCGGCCAACCAACGATTGCTTCAACGTTCTCTAATCGTTCTCTCCGCCTCGACCACCGACGGAGATGGAGGAAGGCGCGGGAGTCAGGCACGGCGGTGGTCTGGTGAGGGTGGGAGGAATTGGTGGGGCAACAGGGTTGGGAGTGTCTGGCGTCGACGTCGGAGGCTGTCTCTCGTATGTCCTGCTCTGGGTGGTGGCCATCGGAGTCATGGCCACCTTCACACTCTGGGCAAAAGGCTTGACTTGCTATGGACGGACAAGCATGACAAGCATGACAGGCGCTATCTCGTCGTGTACCGCGTGCTCGGCTTGCTCTGTCTCGTGCGCATCGTGCGTGGCTGATCGTGCAAGCTTGCGTGGCGGTGGCTGCACCGCCAAGCTCAAGCCTTGGATCGCTCATGACTGGCTCATCCAGCCGGCAGCTGCAGGCCTTGCACCTGGTGCTGTGCCTGGTCCCATCACTCTCCACTTTGGTACTTTGTCTCTGGAGGACAAGGCGCCTTCAGATTCGTCGTGCACCTCGTTTGATGGCGTGCCTACAGACGGATGTTGCGACTTTGTCCAGATCTTTGACGGGCCGACCATCCACTCGCCGCTCCTCGCCATACTGTGCGGCTCCAAGCATCCAGGTCGCATTACTTCGACAGGCCCGGCCATGCTTGTCCGTCTGTATGTCGATGGTCACCAAGAGGGAGCTGGCTTTTCTGCTGTCTACACATCGGCCGGCTTTGGCAACCTCTCGCTTCCCCAGCTCCCCATGCCTTCCTTTCCCAACATCCACTTGGACTGCGGCCGCGACACCAAGTAGCCTCCCTCTCTACGTTCCTGACCCACCTCCCGTCCACGTCAAGATCATCGCATCATTGCTACAGCCCACGATCGGTATCACCGCCAACACCAACGCCACCGCCAACGCCACCGCCACCGCCATCTGCCTTCCTTCCCGCCCAATCAACACCTACCAAACACCCAATGAATGTACCTGATCGCCTCCTCCTTCTCAACCATCCAATCCCCTCCCCCCCCCCCCCCCTCGTCCATCCCAGCCGTTGCCCGACTGCCCGCCGCCACCGACCACCACCACCTGTACCACTCTGACCACCACTACCACCACCACCACCACCACCACCACCACCACTTCCCAGCACCCCACCTCACTCCCCCCCACAATGTACACACCCACCCATACTCACTACCCCCCCCCCCCCAC